GCAAAAAAAAACTGTTGCTAGGATTTAGGAGGAGGTTTTATCTCTTGATCTTCGCCCTTTTTTCGGTGCATAATTAACGAACACACACAAGCTATGCATGCTCAAAGCAACAGTCATGAATGAGCCCATTGTTGAGATCAGCAAAGTCTCGAGTCGCCCTTTCATGTCGAATAGTTCACTTCTTTTTTGCATTCTCAGGAAATTATAGCGAAAATAGAACGCATTTGTATGCTTCTGCATGGACCAGCACAACATGCAACCAACCATTTCTGAAAAGCGATGTCCTTCGTAGGTTTTGTTTCACTACCTACCTCTCCTTCATTTCTCCTAGAAATGCGGATATTTTTTCAACTGTTGTCTGAGCTCGTCACATTTATGAATAAATCCACCACTCGCTGGAAGTACGGAGACTTTGGCAGTCGAAAACAAAACCAAAACGGGAATGAAGAGTTATTATACTATTCCACCATTTTCATACGCATGGTGCAATAATTTTCATATACCTATTCATTTTATCAAACCCTATTGGCCAGTATCACTAGTTGCAAGCACATGCCTCTCGTCGTGACTCGAAAGTCCAGCAAAGGTTCAGATTTGATACTATTGCTATCGAGTGCAGATGGGAGCTGTTCACTCGCGACGACGAATCTGCGCGCTCCGCCTCTGATACTTGGGCACTAACACTGAGTCAACTCAATTGGAATTGTAAGGAACGTAAAGGAAAGACGCAAAGCCTGACTCCTATCTCTCTTTAATATCACGATCTTTCTGTCAACCGTCAATCACCTTTCCAATTCCTGACATCGCTATTAGGAAAAAACAATTCTACGTATATTTCCGAAGCACGTTATAAATTCCGTGGATCTCCTATTCTTACGCTCCCTATCACATATTAGTGGCTGTTATAACCTCTCCTCACCCACTATCAATATGCAGCGCCGCTTACTTGTTCTCCTTACCTCCTCGATTCTGTTCCACTTCGCTCATTTGATTTCTGTGGCACATTCTACTACCGATTGCCTGATCTGCAGCACAGCCAGCCAACTATCTTTTCGAGTGGGGCAATCCAACTTTGCTCGGGGACGACTTTTTGGAAATTTCTCTGAGCACTCAAGACTGGAGAAAGTCCTGCAGGCAGTGATGGCCTTTGCGCGAAGTACATAGCCATACCATCGGAGATAATATTTCGGAGTTTTGTCGAACTTGGAGAAACTACGCGAAACCTTGCTTGGCCTATATCGCGTCGTTCTGCAAATGTTCCTATCCACACGCGTGCACACCCTGATGTGCAGCGTCCCCTTTCATCTCTATCGGCACTAAGAACAGCTTCAAACTTTGACACAGGTCCTCACCCGGATACACAACGCTACTGATCTAACTTTATTTCTATAAAATTTCGATTTGGAGCGCTCTCACATCGTCTTATCACAGGATACTAGAATAATGTAATTCGCCTCTGAAGTGGGGCTCGCCTCAGGACACAATTTTGATCCCAAGACACCCCTTCGGAGGTCTGGTTGCGCGTTTTTACTACATAGGATCAAGCACTCGTTAGAATCGGTCGTCAAAGTGACTCGGCTCTCCTTGCTTCCAACCTGCAATCCAAACCTTGCCAGGCTATCAGTCGAGCTTGCTACTCTTGCTTGAGCTCACTTTTTCTCTTAATCATTTTCAGCAAGCATCACGACTTCTGTCCAGATTAGAGGGGGTAGTCTTCGTCTCTCAAAACTCTTAATATCTTCTGAATACTGGCAGCCATGGAACATTCAAGCCATCGGTCGACCTTTTTTTCCACAAACTTGTGCCACTCCTTTAAACCAAAACCCATTGAATAAGGTGGACCGCGCCTCTGAGTTTCGTGGGCTTCCCGCCGCGGCGCACTCACCGCGTGTACATTTTCCTCACAACTGGCCGCGACATTTCTTAATCAAAGCGGACAAATACTTGCACCTGGTCAGTTGCATTTACTATGCCCGCCAACCCTAGCGCTACTGCTGCAAGCCAGCACCAACATCATCAGGCTCACGTTTCACGGCGGCTCGATTATGCTATTCTGAACACGTTTCTGATGAAATCTCCGCCTTCTCTCGACTTCTTTCGCTTGCTATTTTCACACACACACACAATACATACACACACATACCACACACAGCGACTGGAACAATGTATTACCGATACAGGAAGAATCCGCACACTTATGAAGTGTGTCGCAAGTTTGGACCATTCGGTCAACTACCTGTTCTTCACTGCATCTCTCTTTCAACACTTCTTTCCCTTACGCAAACCGAGTGTACTCCAATTCGCTGCACTCTCTTGAGACTGGCACACTGAACGACGGCTCGTTCAGGTCCATCGTAGTGAGTTCTTGCGCCATGTGCATCTCGGGCCGTCGCCAGCGCCTCCGATATGCCGGCATCGACCTGCGCTGATGATTGGCTCCATTCGCGTGCATATGAGAAAGTGTCGTGCCCTTCATGAAGTTCCGAATTTCGGTGGTCCGTCCAAGCGAGCGCGTCTTATGCTTCGCGACCTTGAGGTTCGCTGCCACGACTGTTCATTGCACTGCATGGAGCAGGATCAGCCCTGCGTTCCCATCATTAATCACTTCCACAGTTTTGGTGGTGTATCAAGTAACTAAGTGCCGACTTCATGCAGTCACCTTACTTTCCAAAGGATGCGAACGACACATTCTGGAGTGTCACACAATGGCGATTGCGAACCAGAAGACGCTGAAGTACAACAATATCGGTGTGATCTGCAAGGCGAAATTAAAATTGTGGAATTACCCCCATCTAACCTTCAACGTAGTCTCCTCATTGTCGTTTCCGTTTATTGTTGTTTCTAAAGCAGCTTCTTCTTCGTCTTCAAGTTCGAGTGGAACGAAGAGGTTCACAGGTCGACGGAAGGTATGTCCAAGATCCTGTAAGTCCTAGCTTCTAAGAGTTCCGTGGAAGAACATCGAAATGAGTACCACGGTATCGTGTTGATTTCCTTTGGGTTCCGCTTTTGCTACTTGATAAGCAATTTGTGCTTTCCTCGGAGGCTTGTGAGATACTGGTTCCTCCACATTTTCCAGTTTTCTGTGATTTTGTGGCTCTTCTGGAGGGCATTTTCTGCTTGTTGGTGAGTTATTAGTGGGGATGGTCGTAAGGTCGAAGTGGCCATTTGTAACGAGACATATGTCGTGCGGCGTTTTTCAAACGCTTATTTCGAATCTACTTCGAAATTTGCAAAACAGTTCTCTGAACGGAATTAGGAAGGTTTGTTTGAAAAAGGGGACGCGGAGTTAAGCGCGTTTGTCAGCCAATTTGCTTCAGTAGTCGCGTAGCCAACGGTAGCATAGCTCAGTGGTAGGTAGTCTTGCTTCATAGACGTGCTGTGAAGGCTAGGGTTTGCAGGATGGCAGGTTTTTGCACTCTTCAAGGAATGCCTCTTCTGAGTCTAGAAAACACTCAAACGCCAAATGGGTGTCATATGCGTGTTCAGGGAGCAAGGCACTCTCCGGAGACAGGTTTCTAGCCAAAGTAAGGTTTTTACCAAACTTTAAAAAAGTATGGCAGTAGTTGATTGAATGTTTGTAGTAGTTGATTGAATGATGACCATCTGTGGTTCTAGAGCCATAGTTCTAGGGCTAGTCTCCTTTCTAAGGCCAGTCTCCTATCTGTTGCTCGTCTTTGAAAGGAATTTGCTCCACTTTTCAAATTCAGGTCAAAATTCCAGATTCGGCAAGAAACTTGTACCGAGAGGTGGTTTGACACGCTGCACACGAATATGACTCGCGCTTAGCGCGAAAATATCTTTATCGCGCACGACGGCTCCCGTCGTACCCAAGTCTTCTACTGGATTACAAAGCGCCCAAGCAGCAATAACTGCACGCAAACTTTTCTACAGGCAACAGACGAGCACTGGAGTAGTAGTGTCCCAAAACCACTTGTTGCCGTGCTGGTGCAAAAAGCAAAAAGTTAAGCTTGGCAGGGGTCCTATCCCATGTGTTGTGTATTAGATGCGGAGGAAAACGCTCCATAACTCCGTCCAGAGAATAGTTCTGCAAATTTCGAAGGCAGGTTTGAAATCAGCCCAATCAATCCGAAGATATGTCTCGCGAATTACGTTTCATTACAAATGGCCACTTCGACTTCAACCTGGCGACCTTCCCTAGCTAGTGTAATCTTTCGTCAGGATGGAGCTTCTTCATCACTCCTGTTGGCTCCACAAGCTCTAGAGGGAAATGTGATGGGTCGCGCTGTAAAAAGCTCATAAGACGCAGAGTCGGGGTTTAATCAAGGTTTTCCTTTTGATATGTAAATCTGTTTGAGCTTCCTTCTTTCTCAATCAGAACGGCTTCTAGATCGGACTTCTTCAGGACTCTCGTCCTCATGACTCTGTAGAGAGAGTGTTTTACAGATTTCAGCAGACGTTTTTAGATGCTCCTTGCCATGGAGCAAACGTTGGGCATTGTGTGTGCTACGGAACAATAAGTAGTGTATGATTATGCTGTATTATTATCCTCGCAAGTTCGCTTTTCTTGGCTACAAAAAAAGTTGACCTGACTCAAAAGCGAGCTCTGCATTTGCCATTCGTCCGCGACATCAAAATGGAACATACTGATCCTTTTGTAGTTTCAGTTGCTTCAGTGCGTTCCGTTGCGCTTCTTGAAGATGTATTATCTGACCATTACGAAGGGTCACTTGTAGTGCCATTTCTCTTCCGGCAGCTGAGATACAGTTGTTTGTGATTCCCTGGAGTTATGGAATTGGGTCCATGATACGTGATTGTAGGCGTGGTTTTATCTTTGTGACCAGGTTTTTTTTTTAGTTTCTGTCTGAGCTTCCTTCTTTCTCAATCAGAACGACTTCTAGATCGGACTTCTTCAGGACTCTCGTCCTCATGACTCTGTAGAGAGAGTGTTTTACAGATTTCAGCAGACGTTTTTAGATGCTCCTTGCCATGGAGCAAACGTTGGGCATTGTGTGTGCTACGGAACAATAAGTGGTGTATGATTATGCTGTATTATTATCCTCGCAAGTTCGCTTTTCTTGGCTACAAAAAAAGTTGACCTGACTCAAAAGCGAGCTCTGCATTTGCCATTCGTCCGCGACATCAAAATGGAACCATACTGATCCTTTTGTAGTTTCAGTTGCTTCAGTGCGTTCCGTTGCGTTTCTTGAAGATGTATTATCTGACCATTACGAAGGGTCACTTGTAGTGCCATTTCTCTTCCGGCAGCTGAGATACAGTTGTTTGTGATTCCCTGGAGTTATGGAATTGGGTCCATGATACGTGGTTGTAGGCGTGGTTTTATCTTTGTGATCAGGTTTTTGAAGAAGAGTAGAGTAAGCTAGTGATTTGAAGTGAATTCATGGTGTTGTTCCTCTTCCAGTGTCGTAGTTTTTGTAGGCTATAGGGCAGAGTTCTTGCTGTTAAACATATGTAAGTAAATGCTGTGGTAAGGCGAAAAGTCGGCGAACGTCAGGCCACTCTCCAGTTTCTTCTAGATGAAGGCTGGACCTTTCCACCACATACGGTTGATCAAGGTGTGCTTATCTGCTCCTCGGGTAGCGATATCTGCTGGATTGTCCATTGGTGTTAACGTATCCAAAGTGTACTGCTGTTGCGATTTCGAATACAGTTCTTCTAATTTCTTTGACAAAATTCTTCACAAATATTCCTACTGATTTCTCAATTGGCTGTGAAGTTATCAGCTGAGGACAATTTCTGAATCCGAGAGAACACTTACACCATTAACTGCTGTTCGATTTTGTATCGCCAATGAAATCGTATGCGTAAATCGAGTTGCCATAGTTAAGGCGTTTAGCTCCGACTTCGGAACTGTCACTTTTTCCCTCGAACGGAAGACGGGAGCTTTACCCTTCCGACAAGGAGATTGTCTCTTTTGCTGGACACGAGCACGCTATTTGCACGTTGCCATCGCTTGGGTATTGGCATCCGAGAATACAAAGAGCTTCCCAATTGTGCGACCTTCTGGTTAGGGTGGGTGAAAATTTTTGACTGCTTGAGCGAAGAGCTTCCGCTGTTGTTGATGCTCTCCCGGCAGTGTTTCGTCCCATTCATAAGTGAATTTCACAGTTGTTGTAGAAATCTTCTTCCAGCAGTTGTCAATGGGGCATGCCATCCTAGAGGATCATAAATAGCGGCAACTTGTTCTGAGATTGGTCGTTCTGAGATTTGACTTCTTTGGATAGCTGCATGAGAGTGAAGTGTCATTGCTTCTTGTGTTCCATGTGATTCTTGAGACTTTCACTACTTCAGATTGGCACAGTCCGTCGGTGCAATTTCCTACTTTAAAGAACTCTTGTTTGTTGAAATTGTCGTAGGTTCATGTTGAGCTCGGTGAAGTTTTTTGTATCTTTGTAATTTTTCAAAGCTCCATTAGTTGAAGATGCTGTCGGTATGAGGTTATAGAAGTAGATATCGATATTCTATGTTTTTTGCTAGTTCTGAGTAGTTCAATCTGAAAGTGACGCGAGGTTATCTATATACGACAATGGGTGTAGGCGAACTTGCAGCAAGGCTTTTTTACGTCGCTGATGATTGCTGTTTCTCCTATTCTGAAGAGAAGTAGGATGTCGCATATTTCGGAAGGATAACAATTCAAAACGTCATTGAGCGATGGACAACTCTTAATATGAACGGATGGGTCGAATACGATTCTGAGTTTTTTTATTCGTTTTTTGAGGAGTAATTACTGCATGATGCGCTGAGTATGCACCGTTTGTCCTTCAATGCTTCGCTCTTCACTGACTTCTTCGATTATTCCCTTTTCCAACTGGTTCATGATCGTATCATGGTACTGCTGTAGTATGGCTTCATTTTTCGTTAAATGAATCAAGTTAGCCTTTAGCCGTCGATAAGCGAGCTGTTTGTTGTCCGGTAGTTGACTGACACTGGTTTTCCGAGGGAGGCGTACGCAGTAAACATCTTCCCGTTTCGCGACTAACCGTCACTTTTCGGGACAGGGTCTACTGAATTCGCGAGTGCCTGTTCTCTTGCATTTGAAAAATTGTTTCCATGCTTGTTCTGGGCTCGACTGCGCTTGGGAACCCTTATAATTAGTAGCTCTGTGAGGGCTCTGAACAAATGTTTTCTCGACATCTATTTGTTTTGCATCTCTTCGTCCTGATATGAGGTATCCCAGTTTGGATGGAATCAACGTTAATCCAGACGGTAGTGTACAATGTGTTTTCAATCCAGTATCAAGTAGGGAAAAGAGATTAGCAATCCAAGTAGAACCATTGGCTGGACCGTCTTGAAGGAGGGATCAATGTAAAGATACACGTCGTTCTTCAACAAAAAATTCTTGTCCTCTTTGCTGAGACTGTTGCGAAGTAGCGGTGTTGTGATTCTCTCGATACGGATGACTGTAAAAGCATGCTGCTTTCCTTGAAGGTCTCATATTTTTTACCATCGTTTTGCCACAGGTTTCCGTAAATGGCTTTTGTAAACCAAATGTATTGATTTTCAGTTTCATGGTGTCGATGTTGTTGAGTCGAAGTCAGTGAGAGGAGTCATTGCTGATGAATGAGCGATCCGCCCCTGTGTCGAGCATGATATGAACATCTCCACACGCTCCCGTGAGAGGATTCAGAAATCGAGCCTGTCCGACTACAATGTAGTTTCTAACTTATCTTCTGTGTCGCTGATATGCTGAACGTTATTGGAGCTGACTTTCAGGAGTCTATACGATTTGGTGTCACGTCCTTGGTCGATCAGGGACGATTGCCTGTTGAGGTGTTGAGGTTTGTGAGGGTACTGGTTGATATCTGTTCTTGAGGAGTAACCGGTATCTGGTTGCTCGGGAGGCTCAAAGTTTTCAGGCTCCTCTTGTGCAAATTGAAGCTTTGTGATCCCTTCCGCCACAGTTTAGCAGAGTTTTTGCTTGCTTCATAACCTCAAGTCCTTCCTTCAATGTTGTAGCTTCGTTACAGGAACGTGGTTTATGTTCACTCTTCCCGCAATAGAAACAAGAATTCTCACGCTATGTGGTTTCCTGAGGGACGTCTGACTTCGTCCGCTCGGTATCACTGACATCCACTGTTTCATCTGATAGGATATTTGGATCTGATTTTCGCTGCTAACAGTAGCGATTGAGTATCCTTTGAACCATGGGCTTTCTGTTTGAGGTCTGCCGGGAGATGTGTCTTTGAACGTCGACGGAACACTTGGCGACCAGCTGTTTCTGTAGAAATATGTTACGTGCTCGTGTTTAATTCGCAGTTGAGAGGGATGGGGTCTAGTCCTCAAAACATTTCCTGATCTTCTAAGCGATTAGTTTGAGCCTTCGTCGGTTCAAGATTGCAATGGAATTTCCCGATCAATGCTTCCTGTCGACAAATTTGTCCTTAAGGTATGCTATCACCAAGGGATAGGTGTGCCTTGAAGGTATGCTATCACCAAGGGATAGGTGTGCCTTGTCTAACAGCTTCACTAATTCTCTTGCATTTCCTTGGAGGGCATCCAGGAGATAGTTGAGTTTGTAAAGGTCATCAATGTTATTCGAGTGAGCGTTGTGTCCCAACGTTATCCAGAATGTTTTCATTATTAAAGTTTGCCACTGAAGTTGGGGATGGGGATTGGAGCCAGCTTCATTTCTGATAGTTCAGTGGAAGCCGGGGGACTGGTACTTCAAAAGAGTAGATTTCCTGCTGAAGTAGGGCCAAGGTCGTGTGCACTCCCTGTGCATCATCCAGCAGTTTGCGCGCTTCCTCTGCAACTGTTTCGGCCCGTTGCAAGTGTTCCGATCTCGCCGGTTCTTCCGTTCCCAGTCTGTCGGCCGCAGTAGTGAGTTTTTCTATTACGATCTCTCGCTTGTCCGATTCCAGTTCAACTGCTTTCCTGGCTTTGCCCCTCTGCCTGAGCGCGTGGCGATCTTCTGGCTTACTTGTTCGCCCGATCGTAGTGTGAGAAGATGTGTTCCACTCCGTAGAAAAGCCAGTCTATTCGTTGTCCGCCAAATAGTTCCTTGGCGGTTCGCTTAAGAAAATAACATTTTCAAGTGACTTACGAAGCTATGTCTGCACCTGGTCACTGTTGGGTTCTTCTTGGCTTCTTCTAGGCTTCTTCTTTCTTCGGCTTCCTTTAAATGCGATGCACCAGATAAGGCGGTTTGTCGGGAAAGGATTGCCGGTAGAAGGCAAAGATGATGACAACCTGTTCATTGTATAACAACCGACTCTTTCATAGGGCTATAGCAAAACTCACAAGGGAGGTGTTTCAGGTCATGGCGCGCTTTTTGGAAATGGTTTGTTGCTTGTTGTAGGGGTCCATACAAGGGTCACAAAAATGGGTTTCATTTTTGCTATGCGTTTCTGGGTAGGTCAAAAACTGAGTGAAAAGAATTTGACAAAATGGGCGGTTTTAACAACCTTAATGGGCTCCTTTCTGCTTGTAACTTCGAGCATGCATAGTTTATGAGGTGGTCACTAATTAGGCCTCAAAATAGATTCGATTAAAGTCAAAATGTAAGTATCATGTGGTAACACACTTGGCATGCACCGACGCAAGAGTGATGTTTTTGTCAGCGCTCCCTTCATGACCATTGCTGGCGGATCGGATGGCGTAGCGGATAGCACGATGGATTCTGGATGGCACGACAATGCGGGACTCGGTTCGGATCCTTGCGGCAACAGTTTTGCATCTGTATCAACGCAACGAGACGTGAACATTTCCGGAAACAAGGTTCTCCACACAACTGTGCTGGTTTGTAAGGTGTCATCCAGGAAAGGCCACCAGGACAACCTGGCCATTTGCAGTGAGTGCATATCATTGTACTCGTCTTGACACAGTGAACTCGAAACTACCTTCAAAATTTGCGGAACGATTCTCTGAGCGGAGTTATGGAGGTTTTCCTTCACTGTTTTTCTTCTTGCGGGTGGGCTGGCGCAGTGAATTTGCACCTGTAGCGCGACTCACAGCTCTCTCCGTGAATAGATATCATATTCGTGTTCAGGGGTCAAACAACCCCTAGAAACGCCACCTTGAGGAAATCCGAGGTTCTGACTCAACTTCGAAAAAATGGGGTAGAGATGGTCACGCCTGGATGATAGCCAATACTCCGACTAGCATACTGGTGATGACTGGTCTTTGCACTGAAATAACCCTTCAGTCATGTCTTTTCGCAAAGAACAATACCTGGCTCACTTGTTCGTGCCGCCTGCATCATTTTCCTGATTACCGGTAGAAAATTCCATCCCAAGACCAGTCATCCATGGTGGGTGGACCCCAGCCTGCTGCCAAATGTCCATAGAATGGCCCACATTTTCCAAGTAAGGTCGAAACGTCAGACTTGGCTAGAAATTAGTCCCCAGGGGTAATCCAACCCGCTGAACATAAATGTGATGGTATTTCATTGCAATAACCCTTCTGACATGAGCTACGAGGGGCAGCACAAGCACGCTTTCAGGCCACAATGTGGCCACAAGTATATGCCTTCAAATGGCATATACTTGACTTATTTCCACTGCCAGACACACAGGCACGCGAATGAATGGAAAGCTGAAAAATGCAAAACATTTTCCGCGAGGAGGATCCGATCCACAAAGTCCCCCCTTGCCGTGCCATCCAGAACCCGTCGTGTTATCCACTGCGCCATCCGATCCGCTGGCAGTGGTCGTGAAGGGTTCGCTGACAAAAACATCACTCTTGCGTCGATGCATGCCAAGTGTGTTACCACATGATACTTACATTTTGACTTTAATCGAATCTATTTTGAGGCCTAATTAGTGACCACCTCATAAACTATGCATGCTCGAAGTTACAAGCAGAACGGAGCCCATTAAGGTTGTTAAAACCGCCCATTCTTGTCAAATTCTTTTCACTCAGTTTTTGACCTACCCAGAAACGCATAGCAAAAATGAAACCCATTTTTGTGACCCTTGTATG